AATTGGGGGTAGGTGGGCAGCAATAGAATTAGGAGATATGAGAAGGGGAATCAATCATTCCAAATTCACCATAACCACCAAGACGTCTTTTCCTTTTCGTGGATACTACTCACTCACAATGATTTTAATAATCATAATCGATAGGAGATGATGGTCTGCTCAGGTGGTCACTATAGCCTTTATCGACTATTTTATCTTCGAGCTATATGAAGAAAAGACTTCTCAACTAAAACATCTCTTCAATAAGATTAAGTCTCTAAAACAAGTGCATGTCTCACCTGAATCGCCTTCTTCTTATTATCTGCATATTTCCGAGCATATTAGGCCTGTGACGTTACATGTATTCATTGTGTGCTGTTCAGTGCATCACTTTCGGTTGGCTACGCACAATGAAATGCAGGAATACTTTTATTGAAACGGGCGGAACCTAAATTCACAAGTAGGTGATCAACAAGGAAAACTCTATGCTGATTGTGGCTGTGAGATGGTTACGGTTAATGGCTCATAATCGGCAGTTTGGTAACATTTTGGTTTCCCAGTAAATGACACCAACGCTGGAGAGAGAGTAGTTGACACGACGGAGACTGTCTGTTGGGTCTGTTATACAGAACTCAGACATGTTGCTGGAAACACATCCAACATGATGACTGGCGTGAGACGACATAATCCGAGTGTGCAGACAGCAGAAGAAACACAGAAACAGCCTCTCCCTGTGGGATTACGGCTATAGGGGTGTGTATCGACACAGGCGACCATACTCAGTAACACAGAACATGGGATTTTGACGGGCATCTGTCTGTGGGCAGACTAACTTGCAGTTCATTATGATTGTTATAATTTAATATTTTTTATTTTTCCTATAGGGGGTGCCATGTCAGTGCAGTGGTTAGCACTGTTGCCTCACACCTCTGGGACCTGGGTTCGAGAGGCTTCCAGGGTTCCATGTGTGGTGTTTGAGGGTTCTCCCTGTGTCATCATGGGGTTCCCTCCAGGTGTTCCAGTAACCCCCCCCCTCCCCCCCAGTTAAAAATCATGCCAAGGTTAACTGGAGTTACAAAATTGCCCATGGGTGTCCTGTAATGGGTTAGCATCCCATTCTGGGTTGTTCCCTGATTTCAAAGCAAATTCTGCACCAAAACTGCACTGAACCCAAAACTGATGTTTGTACCAAACCATGAATTCTATCGGTGCATATGCCCCATCTTGAATCTTTCCCAATATTCTGTTGCTATTACTGAAAATGCAAACGAAAAGCTCTATCGTTCGTACTGAGGAATCACACATAACGCCTCAAGACTCGACCACTGGGACTGAACAAAGCAAACCCACAACTGCTGCAAAACACACTGGGCCACACCTCTGGTAAAACCACAACTGTTTAGGCAGGTGGGGGGGGGGGTGAGGCAGAATCTGCCAGACCAAAAGCAGCCACCACAGCTTAATTCACAGCAAAACCAGCAAGTGCAGCAGAACCCAGAGCTGCACATGTTCTCAATGTGCTCCCTGGCCAGCTGTCTACAATCCTGCCCTGCCCCCCCCCCCCGCAGGACTGCGGTCTAGGGTGTCCTCCCAGGCTTAATCATCACACTCAGCCGGCCTATATCTGCTCGCCTAGTAAAATCTGCGCACCCCATGGGATCGCTTCCCACTTTCTCTCGCCGTCCAGCCCCGCGGGGTCTCCCGAGCCGCTACGATCCGTTTAGCAGAAGATCCCGATTCGCCACGCCGTGCAGACGCTGCCGGCAACTGACCACTGCCGGGAGCACCTCCCCCCTCGATTTGCATCCTGCTGACTCTGTGAGACCAGGGACACCCAGTGCAAGGTCCCCAGCAGAGGCGTGCATCTCCATCGCCCGCGGCCACCTCCCGTGCCTGCTGGTACCCAGATGCTTTCCAACAATGCCCCTCTTGCAGGAGGCCCCGGTCGCTGGCGCGTCGGCTGTGCAGTGGTACCCGTGCTGGGTGTCTGACCGCCCCTCCCCCCCCCCACATGCCACTCCACGCTTCACCACGGAGACCCCCCCCCCCCCCCCCCCACACGCCACTCCACGCTTCACCACGGAGACCTCAGACGCTGGGGCTGCATGGTGGTTGCGTCGACATCACAGACATGATCTCTCTGAGTTTCTGGGGGGTTTTCAGGGAATACCCTGGTTACCATGACGTTACCGTGGCTCCCATCACCTCATGGTTTGGTGTTTGGGGTGCCAGCAGATCCCACCCCTCTGCACCCATTACCATCATCGCTTATCTCTGTCTGAATCCGAACGAGCTGAGAAACCACAGGCCCCGTTTCTGACGTAACACTTCGCCCTGTCCTAGTTAATCTCTTTTCGCCAGTTGATAATTAATAAAACAGAAAAAGGACTTAACTAAAAGGCAAAAGAACGCCGTTCCACGCTTACGTTCCCACGGAGCAGAACAGCGCCGGCATTTCATCGCTCTTTGTACTTTGCCCTCTGTGCGAATGATCCCATATGAACCTGTGTAAACTAGCCCCTCCCCCTACCATTGTCCACTCCCTCCTCAGCTTGTACCAGGCTTTTTTTATCCCCTCTTCACTCAGCCTCTATGAAGCATTCCTTCGCCTGTTTACTCTTCATTTTTTTTCATCCCACGGTTCAAGGTCTACAGTACGTAACACGCCTCCCTCTGTGGCCTTCCCCAGGCCCCCCCCCCAGTGACCCCTGTCGTCGTCAGGCCGTCCCTGCCTTCAGCGTGTGATAAAGGGGTCATTGTTGTTGCCCTGCAGCAGTCTCGGCTGGGCTACAGTTTTCCTCTGTCTGAACCTGACGCTGAGGATTGTCTCTCCAGATCTTGCCCTGGGATTGGGTCCCGTAACTCCTACAACGTGAAGACTCCGACCATCTCCAGCTTCTAGCTTCTTTTCTCAGAGCTGTCTCCTCTCTGCTTACAGAGTTCCAAACGTGGAATGTTTAGTCACACGTCACAAGCCTTTCTGTAGAAGTCAGGTGTGATCCTGTTTACACAGCACTGCCCTCAGCATCTCCGCATTCAGCTAACATGCCAGTGCTTCGTCTGAGGTGTTGCGTCGCTGCCAGAGCCCATTAGAACGGCAGCGCTCGGCGACGTCGAATTACAGGAGCAAAAAACGACACAAAGCGACTCAAAACTCAGATGACATTCAAAAATTATTCAAAATATTTCAAAGAGGGACTGAGAAGGGGATTGGATATCTTTGAAGTCACCATCCAGATTGAGTTCCAGATCTCTTCTGGTCCATGGAACGAAGCCAAGTGTTGAGAGTTTATCAGCACCAAGGGAACCTCTATTTTGTAAAGGAATATACCTGCTTAGTGTTCAGCTAAGCACTCTGTGATTTCCCACCTTGACCTATTTACCCGCAAGCTGGTTAGCAGACAAGGCAAAAGCCTCGTTTGCATTTCAAAACACACGTTCATTTCAGGCCCAAACAAAGATGACTGCATGTTAACCAAGCCTTTATTGGTCTCCTGTCCGATGCCAGATGAAAATAATTAATGGCCTTGAAAACGTACACCTCCCTGGCACTTTCTGGAGTGCCGCCCTGGGCCCCAAGCTGCATTTTGTTGACCAGTGCAACTGATGAGTGTGTCACCAGCAACTGGGTCACCACAACACTGGTCTGGCTAGGGGCTGTCCCCAACCCACTGAAACACACCTGGTCTGAGTAGGCACAAAGACGCTAGGCGTTACGAAAACCATCATAGCCCCTCCACGCTACAGTCACACCCCAATAGGGGAGATGTCCTTATAATACCTCAGATTGTCAAGATTACAGTGTGTAATATTTATATTTATGCAGCATACTCATAGTACTCTAGATGAAGCTTTGCTAAATATATGCCAATAACAATTAAAAAAAAGTCAATTTGAGCACATTTCCGTATAGCCAAGACCCTATACACCTGACAGCCATCTGCATTAAACCACTTAGACCGATGGAGTCTGGCTAATGATTTAATGATACAGAACAACCGCAAATTCCAATTCACTTAACCTCTGCGGCAGAACATATGTGCTCTCATGTGTTCTGTCACAGGTAATAGTGTGATAAGCTGCAGGTTCCTGTCACCATGTAAGTCACTGTCACAGGTAATAGTGTGATAAGATGCAGGTTCCTGTCACCATGTAAGTCAATGATTCCCTGGGGGTGAAGGGAAGGGTGAGAGCGATAGATGACACAGCGCTTGGCACGTTTCCCAGAGGTTTTGGGAAGGTGGTGTTGGTGGGGGCGGCGGTAACTGGGACAGGACTGTGGGAGGGTGGTGTACACGGCCGGGAGTCCTGGCTCTGTGCTGAGCAGGGCTACATTTTGAAAAGGATACATGAGACCCACACACCTGGACAATAAGCTAGGGTGTAACTTTAGACTCCCAAGGGTTGCCATTTTCTTTTTCTTTCTCATTCTCCTCCTTGCACGAGCTCTGCTGCTTCAGCGTGTAACGATCCCGAGTTGTGCAGTTGATATTTACAGTTGATATTTAGTGTGACTCAACAGCCCTGCGTCAACACCTCAGCAAAGACTAAAGACGTACTTTTGCCATACTGCGATAAACGTTTTAACGGTTTGGCTATGGTAACTGACATGTCGCTTTCAAATCTTTAAGGATCATGATTTTTTTTTAAGGCACTGAGAAATACAATAAGTGCTCACAGCAGACCAATTTGAAGGTCTTGTATCAGCGTATTCCTTCACATGCCAACACACGCACATACAACAAAGGTTCTCAATCAGCACTAAGTGACAGATCTCCTGAGATATACATGCATAATCTGAAGGGTTAATACAAAGCCATTCAAATCATAGCCCTCAAGGGCCGAGCACTGCTGATTTTCCAGCTTTTCTTTACCGGTAAGCCAGGTGTAAACCTCTGTAGCCAATCATAATCAGGAATTACTAAACTAACTGCCCAGGAGAACTAACAACAAGGCCTGGATTTGGAATCGAGGGCCTGATTTGAAGAGCTCCGGTTAATGTATCCAGAGACGCTACTCACTATTGCTGGATTTGAGGTCCCTGTGGATGATGGGTACTATCGCCTGGTTGTGCAGGTAGTCCATGCCTGTGGCAATCTGCACGGCCCAGTTGACCAGAACCCGTGGCGGCACCTTCTTCCCAGCCAGCGCCCGATTGAGGGCACCTCCTCTGGCGTACTCCATCACCAGGCACAGGTTGGGTTCCCGCAGGCAGACGCCGCGTAGAGCGATAATGTTGGGGTGTCGTATCATCCAGAAGAGACGGGCCTCCTGGCGCACGCTCTCGGCCGTGGCGCTGATGTCTTCATCCGGGTCCTGGCGAGCCGCCTTGACCGCCACCTCCTCACCCCGCCAGATGCCCTTGTAGACTTTACCAAAGCCACCAGCGCCAATCACTTCTTCCAGATGAAGTTCCGCAAAGTCTATCTCAAGGGGGCTCTCGCCACCTGCCACCAAACTACCCGAAAGCTGGGAGTAGCTGGAATCTCGACGGGTCACGTAGTTGCTGGGGAAGATGCCCACCTTGTCCTGGATCTTACCCGTCCACCAGCCCTCATCCCCAGACACCTTGGAATCTTTGGAGAGTACTTCCAGCAGATCTCCACGCCGCAACGTGAGCTCCTCGTCGGCTGTCGCCTCGTAGTCAAACACCGCCGTCCAGAAGGGGTCGGCGCCTCCTTGGTGGTGGAGGTGGGGGTCAGGTGAGCCTGACGAGGACACGGTGGAGGAATCCCAGCTGCTGCCATTCTCAGCCGGCCCGGCACAAGGGGGCTGACCTTCTGCCGGGGGACCGGAGGAAGAAGCCTGCAGGCAGCACCCACAGTTGGTACAAGGCAAGGGGGCAGCACCGGCGTTCATTCTTGCATACGGGTCCATGGTAGCCTGCAGGTTACCGGTGTGGGTTCAACAGCTGGCACAGATTGTTTTTCAGCACAGGCACAAAATCCATGTAGGGCCCATTGACTGAATCCAGCCTTTCTTCATGAGAGGTGAGAAATCGCTGCTATGCTGCTATGCTACTGTCCCATGGCACTGGGATGCTCAAAGAAGTTAGGATCGTCAGATTTGTCACTGCCGCATCCTTGATATGTTATAATTTATTATAGCTGGCATTTTCTGAAGGGGGGGGGGTTTCTTAGGAGATGAGCTAACTGTAAATCTGTGACTCACGAGAAAACAGTGCACAGAAAGTTCACGCTTTTCCATCCTGCTCTTCCAGGAGCATATGTCAGGTGGTCACAGACCTCACTTTAAGTTATTTAAGCATCTTGTTTGTAGTTAATATATATTCCCAAAGAATCTCTTTAGGGCACTTACGTTCAGCCTTTTATGATGGTGCCTTTGATTTGAATACTTGTAGCTGATTAATCTCATATGACAGCAGGCCTGCAGAAGGCAGGCCTTTGTAGCGTATAGCTCTTCAAAGACACCTACGGTGATCTTTAGTCTTTCCGGAGACCGCTGCGTTGTATTGCATCACAACAGTCTCGAATATGGGGTGCTGCATAATCGGAGTTGAAAACAAAAACGGTGATCGCTTCCGATTGTAAGACGATTTCTTTCATGATTCATAGATAAATTGTTTATTAACCACGATTAATACGGTCTAAGAAATGACAAGTCCATGTCTCGGAATGTATAAAACCAGCACCTATTGCTATAGGTATAAGACAAGCCAGAAATTAAATTAAATCCGGTTATAATAAACCCTTATATTATTCAATTGAAGAAATGAATACATCTCGATTTGCTTAATAATTAGTTACAACTAGGTACAAAATGATCGGTTCACGTTGGCGAACACTACATTATCTGTAGCTGACATAAGCCCGACACTCTCAATTTAGTTAAACTCCTTAAGCGGGATAACAGGCTGACAGTCAATCAGTAACCAAGCACGGAATTTCGCTTAATGGTTAAAAATATTATACGGAAAAAACCTCAGACACGTAAGCCGAGCGTTATTGCCCTTGTTGGTCGCTGCCTTGAGTTAATCCCGCACACTGCTAACGCATAAGCCCATTTAATACCCATAAATAGTGGTTAAGAAAATCACTCTTCCATTTTACAAAGTGCAATTACATAGGACACATAATAATTAGGTGCCCGTTCATTTTGTATTAGGCCTCTATGAATGAACGTATAATAATTATTCGGAGGTCATATATTACGGTTGTACTTTGTCATTTTAATAAAAATGTTCACGGAGGATAGATTACACAGTAGTCAGAATGAATACCCTAATCCTGGGTATGTTTACCCGTTTAAACAGCGCGAGATAAATGGCAATGAAACGGTGAAACCATAACCTGTCCCTTTCCTTTAAGATGTTTTGCTATTCTGGCTGTTCACGGCTGCGCCCATAAAGCTCAAATTATTATCGCGAACAGATGCAGAAAATTTCTCTACGATTTTTGTTGCATATCTGCTCGATAACATTATTCGCAGTGGTAAAATAGTCATCATCCATTCATTTTGGTGGAACAGAGAAACCTACCCTATCCTCCTCTTCCGATCCACATAGCTATTCACATGCATGCAAGCATATACCTTCCTGGACACTCATATCCTCATAACTAACGGAGCTCCCCGTGGCAAAACAACGTGTGGCGTTTATAATAGTGCTGTGTTGATCTTGCGAAGTCAAAATTCATGACGCGAAGAAAACGGACGATTAAATCTTCTTCGATGATGAGTTTCCTTTGGCTATCGAGAAGTCCGTGGAAGAACAATCCACCATCTTCACTGTAATAATATTAAGCATAATAACGACACTGAAAGCAACACAATTTATAATCCAGTAACTCCGGTTCCGCTGCTATGAATATTCAAAAACAAAATACTTGGTCCATCGGTTTTAGCGTGACACCCGCAGTTAATTGTACGTACTATATTCCATCCGAAATCCTCGTCGCATGGGCGTGTGAATGTGTCCCTCTGAGTCCACCTTGTTTTTACAGTGTTACAACATCATATCCCTCGATTTAATGCGAGCTATTCTACGAGGTTTGTGCCCCTTGGGGTCACTCAGTTAACCATTTTCCACTCGAAATCAAAGTATTTTTCCCCACGAAAATGTTCCATTCAGTGGACTGAGCTGTCATCGGTTGCGGCTGACTTTGTATCCAAATACACCAGCTGGATCGGGGGTGGGGGATCGAAAGGGATGCTGGGAAATGTAGTTGTTGTGATATCAAGGAAGCGCATACATACTGGTTACTGGGAAACAGGGATAGCACCTGCATTAAACTGGAAGCATGGAAAGGGTTACTTAAACCTATTAAAATGATGAAGGAAGCAGCAGTGTTGAAATAAATTACATAGCGACAGGGCTGCCATGGAAGTGAACAATACTATGTAATAATAAGTGAACAATAAGTAAATTAACCTCCGCATTGTAACTGCCAGTGTAGGCTACATATTTGTCCCACTCGTCTCTTTTACATTTCTTGTCGGACGTAAAAACCCGTGTCGTGTCCTGCTACTCGTCATCCGCGTGTAACCGTTCATATTTTCTTTATTCGCAAATTGTAATTTATATTTGTCTTTTGGAAAAGTTCCCGTATTTACTGCTTCCTTCTGTTTTTGAGTTTATTTTAATACACGACACTGTTATTAACTGCTGACGTAAACATCTGTTTTGAAAACATATATTTTAAAATATATTTTTACAAATTTAATTTAATGTGAGGGGGAAAAAAGTTCATAAGTGATTTTAATGTTGTAAGAACAAAAAGAAACATTTGCGAATTTGCTAGCTGAATCTGAGGCACTGGGGCTCCTGATTGGATCGGCGTTCTTGTGTTCTCTGTTCCTGATTGGTTGGCATAAGTTCAATCTAACATGTGACAAAAAAGAAACGGAGCCGCCGGGAGATTTGCTATATGCCAGGGTTAGTACGTGTTGGCTTAAAAAAAAAACATTCCTGACATGGACTATCAGCACTACAGCACTGGTCAAGAGAGCACAGGTGCTGCTGTCTGGGATCACTCAAGAAAATTAACCTTAGCGAATTACTGCTTATGACATTGTACTGTTGCAGCCTTGAAAGTATACTGACATACTGTATTTCAGTATGGAACTCCAGCTCCTACAGAGTGTCACAGGGATCCATCTACCAAGTCTGGAGGACACCTACAGCACTCAATTCCTCCGGAGAGCAGACATCATCACCAAGAACCAAACACACCCCTGTGACCACCTGTTCACCCTCCTGCCCTCTGGGAAGAGTTGCAGGCCAATTTGCTCCCCTACGTCTAGACTGAGCAATAGGTTCCACCCCAAAGCCATCTACCATCAAACAAACTCAGAGAACGTCACCCCAGCACACCCCCACGAGCATTCCATACATACCCATCTATCAACCCCCCCTCGAAAACAACTGACTGTGCACAGAGCTGCTGCTTTTTAACTATATGACTGATGCTAATTTACACTGTTATATATTGTATATGTTGCTGTGTTTGTGTATGTGTATATATGAGTTATGTATATATAGTCCCCACAAGGGGAAATTAAATTTTATAAAAATCTGTGGAGTGGTGGCTCTGAGGCTAGAGATCTCTACTGGCAACCAGAGGGTTATGGGTTTGAATCCTGTGAATGCTGGCAGTGACCCCACTCTGTTGGCCCCTTAACCTGAATTGTCTTGTCTGGGGTATGATGATAACCTACATCCAACCCTGCAAGCAGGTCCTCCAAATTCCAGGGAGAATTGGGGGCAGGGTTGGCACTATAGCCACTGGGAAAAGCCTCATGCTGTTCCATTCAAACTAGTGTGGTGCTGATGTATCACCTGCTGTACTTGGGTTCTTGTCCCTGAGGTGGTTTTTTTGTGCGGTGGGTGAGGCAGTGTGCTGTATCAGCACGTCCTTACCTCTCTTGTGGTTGAGGTTAGGGCTGGGTGGTGGTTAAGGTTGTCATTGTTGGGATTAGGGTTTTGCCCATAGAAATGAATGGATGGTCCCCAGAAATATATTAATACAGGTCTCTCTCTCTGTGTGTGAGTGTGTGTGTGTGTGCATGCGTGCCTACAAAAAGCTTTGGCTGTTTGAGCTCTTCCTAGAATCTTCGGTAAATACACAATATAGCACATGTTGAGCTATGCCGCTGGCACACTTTGGTTGGCTAATGAATACCTCGTAAAGTTAATTAATCTCAGGAGCTGGCAGTGAAATTTAACAAATATTGTACCTGGAATAGCTGGTACGATCCCCAAGAAGAGGTTTGGAAAACAAGACTATTTTTCTAACCTTCCAACTAGATATCGATATATTTTTTGACTTAGTATTGTATTAATGTACACCTTGAATAAGAGAGCATCAAAGGAATATTCAACAAATGTAGTGGAATCGAAGATCAAGGGAATACTGGCTGTTTAGTGAAATTTTCCTTTCCATTAACTCATCATGTTTACTTGTTTATATACATTGCTTCTAAAATAATGCACTGGTGTGTTCATTTATCACATTATCAGATTATCTCATCGTCTGTTCCTGTACAAATTTACCTGCTAATGTTGCCACTCACCTGCAAGTTTACAAATAATTTGTATTTAACTTCCTATCTGTTAGAGATAGGATTTGGGTAGGATATGTTTATCTCAAGGTTCAGTAAAGCACAGAAATTGACATGCCACATAAGTGACATTGTAGCAAAACCAGATTTTGGAATCCTTTTGGGAAACACGCCCGTAATCTGTATGTTATTCTCTCATTGTGTGATTTCAATCTATTTATTTAGGCCCTCATGTGTGTCTGATACATCGACAGCAGTGGGTTTTAATCACAGTTCTGCTCTGTGTGTGGAGTTTGCATGCTCTCCCTGTGTTATGTGGGTTACCTCTGGGTACTCTAGTTTAGGTTATCTAGTTTAGTGCATTTAGGCTGGTGTCTCTGATTTGCCTGCAGTGTGTGTGTGTGGGTTATGTATATATTACATTGTGGGGACCAAAATCTGTTATTCTGACCTTGTGGGGACCTTTGTTTCGGTCCCCCAAAGAGGAAACTCTTAAAAAACTAAAATAGCCAAAAGTGTTGCATTTTGTTTGGTTACTTATGGTTAAGGTTAGGGCTGGGTAGTGGTTAAGGTTGCCATGGTTGCAGTTAGCATTATGCCCATAGAAATGAATGGAGAGTCCCTCCCCACTGAGATATAGATACCTAATCTTTGTGTGTGTGTGTGTGTGTGTGTGTGCCCTGTGATGGACTCCCATATCACCCAGGGTGTTCCAATACCTTGTACCCTATGCACCCTTGAGAAGGCTCCCACCCCTCTTGACCGGATCTAAGTGGTTGGATGATAGATTAATTGCTTGTAAGTGGCTAGATTGGTAGCTTAAGCACTCATTGCTTTCTTGGTGTTAACATGAATATTTTGGAGTATAGCACCAAGCTGGGCCAGCCTGCCATATAGGCAACATAGGCGATTGCCTAGAGCGCCATTCCATTAGGGGGGAGCAAAATAGTGAGTGAAGAAAATCAGAAGAAATTCTGGGGTGACGTTATCAAATGAACTAACAAAAATTGTTCTTGGTCTGGGGGAGGGGGGGACTCAGCAAAATCTCGCCTACGGCACCTGAAAATCTAGGGGCAGCCTTTACCCAGACAAAAATACAGAAGGATTTTAACTAATGTTGGCATAGCGCCCATTGGAAATAAATAATCTAGTCATTTATTTGACTGGATAATATACCATTCTTGTATGTGTGATGCTGGATTAGACCACTGATAAAACATCTGTCCTTGATTTGTACATTTTATACAAATATAAAATTTTGTAAGAATTTGGGCAGTTTAAATAAAACTAGCAATATAAAAATAATTGCATTATTTATCTTAATGTGGGTTGGATTCCCACTTAAAAGTTTCCTCCCACGGTCCAAACATCTGTGATCAGATGACTTGGTGCCGCTGAATCACCCATTAAATTGATCCCTAAATTAGCATAAAATAAAACAATTGAACAAAAATAGCAAGACATCTGATATTGCTGTTGTTCTGTTTCCTTTTCAAAGGGTGACACTTAAGAGGGATAGTTTCACTCTCTCCTATTATGGTCTTCTTGGTACCAACAACCAAGGAAATTTTTTGAGCGACCAGAAGCTGTTCAGAGGTAGTGTTGGCTCTGGGCCTTCAAGCTGGGGAGTGAGGACCTTTGAGAGCACAATCCCTGAAAAGATATAAGTTGTACAAGCATACCCTCCAGCCTGTGTCAAGCTTTCCTTTAACAGACTGAGGTGGAAGCTTGAACCCAACCTCCACCTATCCACGTTACATAATTGCTTATCCAGTAGAAGGTCACGGCCCGGAGCTGATGCCAGGAAGCAAGAGGCATGAAGCGTGGGGCACCCCAGACAGGATCCCGGCACCCGTCAAACAAGAAATAATCATCTCAGTGAGTCACAAACAGAAGATAAGAGAAGGTGATGGGTGACTCAGTGGGTTAGGACTCTTCGCTTGTGTTCGGAGCTCGCTGGCTCAAATCCAAGAGTTGGCAGAGTGGTTTCACAGTTGGGCTCTTGAGAAAGGCCCTTATCCCCAATTGCTCCAGAAACTGGTTGGCCCTGCTTTCTCAATTATACGTTGCTTTGGATAAAAACATCGCTAAACATATTGTAAGATTATATGTATCACTTAACTAAATCATCCATCCATCATCTGTTTATCTATCTGTTTTCCAACTACTTGTCAGGGTTTCAAGGTTAACAAAAATCAAAGCAAATATATATTTTTTTCTACTTATAAAGCCAGCTATTGGGCCAGCATGGTTTTTCATGGGTTTGCGCAATAACCTCACAATGCTTGTGGGTTTGATTCCCACCATTAGGAAACTTGGTTAATTAACATGCTGTCCTTGTACTGTACCTGCTCTTGGCTAATTGTCCTGAGAAATTGTGCCTCTCATTAAAGTGAGAGATCATGTAACAGTTGTGCGTTCGACAGCCACCTTTCCCTGTCTAATTTGCCCTCTGGATTTTGTTATGCCTGCACAGACAATTAGGTGTGATGGGAGAGGGGCTTTCAGGTCACTTGGAGCTCTTTCAAAGGACATATGTCTAATTTAATCGCCAAAAACCTGAGAAATAAGAGAAATGTCTTTCAGTTAACGCTGAATATTGCTGGAAAAGAC